AAAATGCCCCAAATCATCTCAAAATCCTCTAAAAATAACCCCAAAATCCCAAACCCACCAAAATCACCCCCAATTGCCTCAAAAACCACCACAAATGACCCCAAAACCAAAGTCACCCCAAAATGCCCCAAATCACCTCAAAAACTCTAAAAAATCACCCAAAACACCCCAAATCACTCCAAAAACCTCGAAAAATTACCAGAAAATACCAGAATCACCCCAAATTGTCTCAAAAACCGCTAAAAATTACCCCAAAACCACCAAAAATCGCCCCAAAGTCCCCAAGTGCCACCAAAAGCCACCACGGTGACAACGAACGGTGACAAACACGGAGGAGCCTCTGGGGGGGTGGCAGCTGTCACCAATGTTCCCAAGTGCCACCAAATGTCCCCTCAGTGTCCCCATTGTCCCCTCAGTGTCCCCTCACTGTCCCCAATGTCCCCAGTGTCCCCAATGTCCCCAGTGTCCCCTCACTGTCCCCAGTGTCCCCATTGTCCCCATTGTCCCCAATGTCCCCAGTGTCCCCAGTGTCCCCAGTGTCCCCAATGTCCCCAATGTCCCCAGTGTCCCCACTGTCCTCAATGTCCCCAGTGTCCCCATTGTCCCCAGTGTCCCCTCACTGTCCGCAGTGTCCCCACTGTCCCCAATATCCCCAATGTCCCCTCACTGTCCTCAATGTCCCCAGTGTCCCCAGTGTCCCCATGTCACTCACCGGTGGCCTCGTTGTAGTAGACGCTGATCCTGTCCAGCTGCAGGTCACTGTCCCCATGGTAGGTGCTCATTGTCCCCAGTGTCCCCAATGTCCCCAATGTCCCCAATGTCCCCAGTGTCCCCAGTGTCCCCAGTGTCCCTGTGTCACTCACCGGTGGCCTCGTTGTAGTACACACTGATCCTGTCCAGCTGCAGGTCACTGTCCCCATGGTAGGTGCTCATTGTCCCCTCAGTGTCCCCAGTGTCCCCAGTGTCCCCAGTGTCCCCAATGTCCCCAATGTCCCCAATGTCCCCACTGTCCCCAGTGTCCCCAGTGTCCCCATTGTCCCCATGTCACTCACCGGTGGCCTCGTTGTAGTACACGCTGATCCTGTCCAGCTGCAGGTCACTGTCCCCATGGTAGGTGCTCAGTGTCCCCAATGTCCCCTCAGTGTCCCCACTGTCCCCAKTGTCCCCTCAGTGTCCCCAGTGTCCCCATGTCACTCACCGGTGGCCTCGTTGTAGTACACACTGATCCTGTCCAGCTGCAGGTCACTGTCCCCAT